GCAGTCAGATGATGGAAAAGACCTTGGATATCTCCTTGCAAAGACTGAAATGTGTGTTCCTGTTGATTTCTTATTGTTGTTGGCTCCCTGGCCCTGCTGGCAGCACAGACAGCCCTTAATGTATGTGTTCCCTCCATCCTTTGCCGTGGCCAAGCCTGAGATAACAGGAGTGAGAAGCCAAGTACCTGCCACCGTGTGAAGACAGGGCTGTTAGGTATTAGCTGTAAATCAAAGGCTTGGCCATTGGGACAGCCTTTATCCCCAGTGAGTCTGTGGAATTGCTTTGGAGCCTGCTGAGAGATCTGGAAAAAGGTGCTTTGATCGAGGAGGAAGATTTCTCCAGAGTGAAAGCAAGGAGGAATGAGGGGTGGCTAATCCCTTATTGAGGCTGTTCCCCAAATATGGATTAGGCTGTGTTTGATTATCAGGGGCTGTTTCAGAGGCAAATGGCTAAAGCAGATGTTTAAGGGACAATTGATGTATTATGAGCACTGTCTGCACTGGCCCCCTGATACCTGGTGCTTCAGTCACTCCTGCAATGCCAAGGAGCTCACTCCTGCTGGGGAATCAGATGAGGACGGGGAAGGAGGTGCTGTAATCAAATCTCTAACCCTTCTGCTGAATTTGGGGTTTTGGGGACTCAGTGAATCCCTCAGGGACTGAGCCAGCACCAGCCTCGTAAAACCATCCTCTGCAGGAGGGCTTGGATGTGTTAATTATTTATTTGACAGGCTTAATCCTGGAGGAGGCAAACGCCTGCCAGAACCCTCCTGGAAATCAGGCCCATTCTTTTGCACGTCCTTCCTTTTTCACTGGTGAATGTGACACTTGGCCGTGGTGTCACGGCTGCAGATGAACCCCCCGGTTGCTGACACAGGGAGTGGTGGCAGGAGCAGACCCCAGCCTCCCACCAGCTGGTCCCCCTTCCCTTCAGCCCGGGATGGAGAGGCAGCTGGTGGGACTTGTGAGGGCATTTTTACCCTGGGAGCTGCCAGTCAGTCCGAGATGAGGATATTTCAGATATGCAGAGCACCTTATAAGCCTGTGTTTAGCAGCTTTCCTGGGGCAGAGGGATGGTGAGTAATATTCCCTCTTTTGCAGGTAGGAGTTTGGTGTGGGATGATGAACTGATTGATTCCAGCCCAGCATCCCAACCACGAGCCCGCAATTCCTTCCCAGTTACCTGCTGAGTGTGTCGTGACTTTCTGGGTTAGATTTTAACCGCTCAGGATGCCAGAATTGCTGATGTTATTCCCACCTCTTTAAACCTTCCCTTTGCCTCTCCCTGCTATCCCAGCCGGTGTGGCAGCAGCATTAGAAGCAGAGTGAATTCATGTCCTCACCTCCTCTTTCATTCTGGAAAGTCGTTAACGCAAAATTGCCAAGCAGAGAAGCTCCAGAGAGTTTAACGTGGCTACTTTATATTGCTGCTAGGAGTGTCTGGAATTGAAAATAAACCTGTGCTTGCAACTCCTGACCCTTTCATCATAAATCCAAACTTCCTTACGTGTTTCTCTTCGCTGCAGAAGATGACTGTATTTCTGTCTTTACAAAGGCCTGTGTGCAGCTGAGAGCCACAGCTGTGCAGAAGCCGGGTGGTGTTTATTTGTAGGGTTTTGCTTGCTGGCGTTTTTTTGGCAGATGATCCCCGGAGGAAATAACCCAAATACGTTAAACGAAAATAGTTTTCATGTGGCGTGTGGCTCGCTGGCCTCGCTCCTGTTCCTGGGGGAGGGCTGTCCACACGGCAAACCGCAGCTCTGGGGTTGCTGCTCTGGCACCCACCCAGCAACACACGAGTGGAGATGGAATCCTGGAGTAATTTGTGTTGAAAGTGACCCTAAAGACCATCTTCTCTATCCCAGGTTGCTCCAAGCCCCGTCCAACCTGGCCTTGAACACTTCCAAGGATCCAGGGGCAGCCACAGGTTCTCTGGGCAACCTGTGCCTGGGCCTCACCACCCTCATCATAAACAATTTCTTCTTTACATCTACTGTGACTCTACCTTCTTTTAGCTTAAAGCCATCACCTCTTGTCCTATTGATACAGACCCTACCAAAAATCTGTGCCAGTATTTCTTTGTAAGTCCTTCCTATAAGGACGTGCCCTTCTGTAAATAATAGCAGGGAAATAGGATTAAATAATAGGCTTAAATTAATTTTGTGTCTATGTGGGGGAAAACCATAATATCAGCCCCATTAAGGGTAGGTGTGAGCTCAGCTGGAGCTGGGTCCAGTCTGATGGAGGAGCAATTAACCTGGGGCAATTAAATTAATTCTCAACAGGTGGGAGATGAACTGCAGATCAGCCACAGGTGGTTGTGCTTGATGCTGGGATCTCTGGCTCTATATCTTGTGAGTCTGTTGAAGACTCCTGCCTGAGACTGGAGGTTCTGGATCATGCAGGAAGGCAGCCAGATGATTCCATGGGTCCTTTCTGGTCTCAAGTGCTTCAGCTGGAGTAGTTGGTTTTGGCTGTGCTGCAGGGAGGGAACGTGTGGGAGGCTCCAAGGAGGATGCCTCTGACAGTGCCAGCTCTGCTTGATTTATATCATTTCACTGCTTGTCAGTGTAATTTCCTCTTGTTGGAGATGGAGCTTTGTGCACTGCACCCAAGGTAAGGCGTCTGCTGGCACCATTAAGCTTTTCATCCTCTCGGTGGGGAGGAAAGCTGTCTTTTTTTCCTTAAAAACTTTCTTCCCTTTCCCCTCTTTCTGCCATTTGGGAATTTCTTGCTTTCAGTCTGAAATGATTCTTTTCAGCTTGACAGACCATTAGGATGAGCACTTATGCAGTTTTATTATACCCTTGAAACACAAATTGTGCTAATTTGAGAGCTTAAGAGTTTCTGGTCAAACTGTGTCTGACTTGAAGACTTGGATTCTTCTCAGATCCTACATCCACAGCACAATTCAAGTTGGAAGGACATTAGGGGGTCTTTCAAGTATGATGCATCTTTCTGTTAGATACTTAGGCTGTGTGGATCATCTGGAGTCCTTTTATAACCAGCTCTGTGGGAAGGTGTATTTGCTTCCTTGACATCCCTCCTTTCCTCTGCTGATTATGGATTTCTATCCTGACCTGTGTGACAAAGCTGGGATGCAGATTTACCTTAGACTTTGTGCTGGCATTATGCACTAGTAGGGTCCTGTCTGCTGCTGGTGGAGGCTGTTGATCTGCTCTGTAATTGCTCTTTGAGCCGGTGTTTTAGCTCTGAAAGGGCAGTCCACAAACACTAATGACTCTTGCAGGCCAGAGCTCAGGATAGCTGATCCTTACTAATGGCTCTTCGAATTCCTCATAGGTTTTATGTATTTATAAACACATTTAGGACACATTATTCTTCCACTCAGTAAAAACCATCTGTAATTATTGCCTGTAATTGCTGGGTGAGGGTAAAGTGAATCAGCTATCAGGCTTTTACTGCTGGTGAACTCAAGCATGGAGCATCACAAATTCTAGCCATGTTTCCAGGAAGATGTGAGCTCACACAAAGAAAATTGTCATGGTCCTTTATTCCTGATACATCAAAATTAGATAACCTGCCTGTACAGTCAATTATTGCCTTCCTAGGCCTTAGTCCACCAAAACATTTTAAGTGAATGCTTAACTTCAAACCTGTGAGTGGTCACAGAGAAGTTAATAAAGTCCAACTGCTTTGGCAGTTGAGTGCTGGGATTTTTGGGGCTTCAGCTTTATTTGACTTATTCTGTGGAGATATGTAACTTGGATTAGCTTCACCTACTTTGGTAGTGTGTGTACCTCAGTGCCACTGTGCTTCTATAATTCCCTGAAGCCCAAGGAAACACCCTCAGAGATATCCAGACACCATGTGCATTCATGTGAGAGGATCCCAGTGGAGCATCTGTCTGATGACAATCCTGTGGAGTTCAAATGCAACAGGTTAAATTAGAGCTTAGGCAGCAGCATTAGTGAACAGGGGCTTTCCTCTGGTTGGTGGGAGTTCATGGGTGTCTCCAACGAATGCTGGAAAGCTTCCTTAATAGCTGTGAAACCTTCCCTCCTCTCCAAAGAACTTGAGTGAATTGCAGTATCCCTGTAAGATGGAGAATCACAGAAGCATAGAATGGTTTGGGTTGGAAGGGACCTTAAAGACCATCTCATTCTACTCCCTGCCATGGGCAGGGATGCCTTCCACTATCCCAGGTTGCTCCAATCTGGCCTTGGACACTTCCAGGAATGGGGCAGCCACAGCTTCTCTGGACCTCCCTACCCTCACAGGGAAGAATTTCTTCTTAATATCCAATCTAACATTCCTCTCTGTCAGTTTGAAGCCATTCACCCTTGTCCAAAATCCCTCTCCAGCTCTCTGGGAGCCCCTTTAGGTACTGGAAGGGGCTCTAAGTTTATAGAGTTTGGTTCTTATGATGGCCTCTACTGCAGATTTGGCCTGGGCTGACCATCTCTCTCCCAGACAATTCCTGGACATGCCTTGGAGGACTGTAATGTCCAAGATGTAGCATGAGCAATCCTAAAGGGTTTGGAATTGGGAGGATTATTTAGATTTCATAGATGTGATGATTATATTGGGTCTCAGGCCCAGAGGGCAGGTCAGGGTCTTTATTTGCCAGGGCAGATTTAGTTCAGAGGTTCTTATTCTGGATCCCATGGGAATAATGTGCAATTTTTTTTTTTTTGACAGAACTAGATATGTTTAAGGCATTTTCAGCAGATTTTGTCTTTGACTGCTGGGTCTTGACTGATTGAACTGACTGGTAAAGCAGTAGGAAAAAGGCTTAAAGTAATGTATCCTGCTGGGCTGTCATTCAAGACAACCAAGTTTCCAGTTTTCCTTCTGCCTGTAACTCATCACACAACTTTTGGACAAACTTTTTTTCCACCTCTCTGTTTCTCCAGCCCTCAGGGGTTTGTCAGCTTGCTTAAATTACAGACCTGTTATGCAACGGGTGGACACTTCCCAAATGGCTAAAGAATGGGTGACTTCACTTGTTTACACCCTCTTTTTCTTTTTGTTTGCAGCTGTTAACAATCGATGACAATTTCTGTGGCCTGGACATGAATGCCCCCTTGGGAGTATCATCCATGGTGAGAGGGCTCCCCATTTACACTGAGGATGGAGACAGGATGACATCTGTGATTGCCTACGTCTACAAGAACCACTCCCTGGCTTTTGTGGGCACCAAGAGCGGGAAGCTCAAAAAGGTAAGACCTGATGTGGTCCTCTAACTCCAGATTTTCATGTTCTTGAGGAGATTTGCTGCGTTGCATTGAGCCTGAGAACAGTTTTTATGCTAAGGTTCTCCTGTTTTGAGGATTAAAAAAAAATAAATGTTTTGGTTGGCAAAAAAACCTGTGTTTCACCCTTGAGGGATTGAGAGAATCTGAGATAAGGATAAAAATCCTTCTTCCAAATTGTTGCTCGTCAGAAAATGAACGTTTCTGAAGTCAAACCACACGTCCAGTCACAGACAGGCTTGATGTAATTCACATCCAACAGAATTGTCTGTGCTCAGACCATCTCTAATTAAGCAGTTGGTCACAGGGTATCTGTGCATGCTGGAGGAAAACTGATTGTGGCTGAAGCTTAAGCAACAGGATTCATGCTCTGGAGATCTTTCAATGTGACTGGGCTGTGATTTCAGCACGAGTCCAGCATGGGATTAGTGGTTGCTCTGTTTGTGTCAGGCCTGGTGCTTGTGCTGAAGGAAGAGTGTTTTCATCAAAAGAAAGCAGTGTCTTGAAGGATAATGAGCTTTTATGTTTATGGTTGATGCCACATAATCTCAAATGCAATAAAGAGTGTATTTATGTTCCTCCCTGTGTGTTCTCACTAGAAATATGCCCTTTGCATGGCAGTAGCTCTGCAGTTTGCTGTGTAAGGCAATAAAAGAGAAACTTGAGAGGTGAAATCATCTACCTGTGGTTTTCTCAAGGGAAGAAGAGGTGTTAAAAGTGACCTTATCATGCTAATGATGGACCTTGCCTCCATTTGAACCTCTTTGTGCCAGTCTGACAATGTTTGTCTGAAAGCTCAGCCCAGGAGGGTTGTAAAATATTGTATGTGCAAGGAGACTGCATGGCTTTGCCATGATAATGGTGAGAGGTTGGGAAAGGGAGGTTGGGCAAAGCCTTGGGGGTTGTGTTGGGTGTTGTTCTCTCTTTGACTCCCTTTTGCAAGTAAAGACTTCCAAGCTGGGGAAAGGAAGGTGCTTTGAGAAGGTGACCCACTGTGTCTTGTGCAGAGGATGGACAGAGAGAACAAGGGGAAGGAAGGGAGTTGCTTGCTCATGGATGCTTAAGGAATGTCTGAAATCTCTGGTTTTATTCCTCTACCTGTTTCTGCACTTGAAAAGAAAACCAGGGTTGTAAATTCAGATGGCATTTTCCACATGCTGAGGGAGGGCTGCAAGGGGAATGGGATCCTGCCCACTGGCAAATGTCTCTGGCTTTGTTCAACAGAGGAAAGGCTGCTTGTGCTTTTGAAAAGAGAATATGTTGGTGTTTTGTTTCTTTGGGTTTTTGTTTGTTTGTTTGTTTTTTTTAATTCAGGCACGTGGAAAAGGAGCCAAATTGTTTTTTAAATGGTCATAATAAAAATAATCTCCTCCCCTGACTAATTAGGTTTTGCTTCCCTGTCATCTGTGATATAATAAACTGTTCAGTTCTCCAGTCAGTCTCTTGCATGGGGGGGGTGGGGGTGGAATGGGGTGGCTGAGATCTGAATGGTAAATATCCAAAAGACCTTAACAGTTAATGACTGCTGCCTCCCTGCACTTCCAAGCTTTTGGTTTTTCCTTTGGCTCCAGGAGAAGCAAACTCAGCCACAGCTCTCTTTGCCTTTGCAGGTCACATTGTAGAATCCAAGATCTGATTCCTTTTTAATAGGGGAAAATAGGAGAGAGAGCTTTCCGTGCTTTAAGGAGTGTGGTAGGGAGCAGGGACAGCCTTATAGGGTAAAGAATGAGAAGAGGGGAGCTGAAGTGGCTGATGTAATTTGAGAAAGCTTCGTTTCATTCCCTTTTTCCTCATGTGCTGAATATTCTGCCTGTGGTTGTTACTGCTTTGGGTGCATGAGTTGGAGCAGGGCTGGAGCCTTGGGCTGGGACCTTTTCTTGGATGAGTAAATCTCCACCAGAGAGGCAGAACACAAAGCAAAATGGGGCTCCTCTGAACATGTGGCATTGTTTTGGACCACTTGATCCAGACTCCTGGTAGCATTTAGTTCCTGCAGGTTCAGCCCCATCCTTGCTATGACTTGTGCAATTATTGACTCTCCTCTACATATTGTCCTCCCCCAGTGCTCCTGAGGGTGTCTGAGCTCAGGACACCAGCCTGGTTTCCCCTCTGGGTGCTACACAAGGCCAGCTTGGCACTCAGGATTTTCCCTGGATTCCCCTTGGCCCCTGTCAAGACTTCATGGGCCTTCTCATGCTTTGTTTTCCATCCATCAGGTGCTGTTGAATAGGAAGCAAGGAAAATACTGCATTGAGATTGCGACTCCAACATAATACATTATGTTGGCATGGTGTTTGTGTTCTGTTTAAAAAACAGTACTAAATTAGAATGAACTTTGTAGGATTATATGAAACTCCAGGTACCAGTGGACAAATCCCAGGAATTATCTTCTTTTTTTTTTTTTTCCTGCTGTTGGCTCCTACCAGGCATGGAATGTCCTGCTGCTTCTGGTACAGTGCAGCTACTCAGTCAAGCTGCAGTGGAACATTTTGGATAACATGAAAGAGTCAGGAGATTATCTCCAAGATAGCAGGATTTACTCAGGGGTTGGAAGACTTGCTGCAAGATGGTTTGGGAGAAACTTTCCTTCTTTTCCCCCCACCGCAGTTCCAGCATTTTCCTCTCTGTGTGTATTTTCCTAAGAAAGTGGCAGACTGCATATCTGATTTTGATTTACATGATCTGTGAGTTCTCTGCAAAATACCCACAGTCATAAAGCAATATCTGTCAGTTGATACACAAATGTCACACGTGGCAGAGGAGTTTATCCAGTGGCACACACAACTTGAAGCAAAATATTGTGCTTTACGGGAGCATATCATTAAAATGAAAACTAGCAGCGTATCAGGAATCTGCCCGTGTAACCAAGACAACAAAGGGAGAAAGAAAAGGGAAAAACTAAGATAGAGATAGGGCAGGGGAAGTGTGAGCGAAACCAAATGACTTGCTTGGCCCCAGCGATTTCACTGCCCCAGGCAAAATGCATTTTGCAACCCTTGCTCATTCACAAAGCTGCCTGTGCAGCCCATCAGGAAGGCACTGAATAAGGAGCTGGAGAAATATTCCCTCCAGTTCTGCTGGCTCGTCCACAGCACTGCCTGGGCCCTGCAGAATGAGGAAATAAATAGGATAAAAATGCAGAGCTACGGAAAAGAAAAATCCCCCCCAAAATCTCCCCCATATCTAATGCATGGAGGCCTCTGCCCTTGGATTAAAGGTTCCATGGATGGGGGGGATGGAGATGGGTGGCCCAGGGAGGAGTGGGTTGGGAGACACCTGGGTTCGGTTCTTTGCTCTGCCAGAAACTCCTGGTGTGTCTTCACTCCTTGTTGTCTCTCCTGCAAATGGTAGGGAATGTTTTCCTTTCTCAAAGATCATTTTAGAAAATTAATGCATTAAGTGTTGTGAGGTGTATGATCGTATCAAACAGCTTAACAGATGAGACGGAAAACCAGCTCCTGACCACTTGTGGGCATTAAAGATGCTGTGGTATTGTTTAATGAGAAATATTTAATCTGCCAGTGCTTTGGTTTGAACCCAGCATCTGTAGTTACCTCCTGTGCTGGCTGGTCCGTGGTGTTCCCAGGACAATGTCAGTAAGAGTTGCCACAGCTTCATAATCCAGGTGCCTGATGGGCTTCCTTAGAAGTGGATTCCTATTTCCTTGAATGCTTGGGACAACACCCATGGCTGAAATTCACCCCTGGGAATTTTTACTGATTTCTTTCAGGAGATACAAAAGAACCCACTTGAATTTAACAAATATCTGTTTTGTCTCCCTGCAAACAGCACAGGAGTAATTCCCGGGTATGTCCTTCCTGCAAACAGCTCTACTGTAAAACAGCCAGGTGCCAAAATCCACTGGCTTTTGATTTTTCCTTTGCTCAATCTCTCATTACACGCTTGGCTCTTCACTGCAGTGGCAGGAGAAGAGCAGAGATGTACCCATGGAGATGTTTTGCACAGTTTTTTATGCTTGGTTTGGATTTTTTTCCTGGTGTGTCTGGCCGAATCATGTGCCACTAATACCTGTCATCACTAAGGGAGCATAGCAGGATTCCATATTCCTTGCATTCCTTCCCTAGGCATTTAATTTGTGGGTCACTGCTTTTGTGCAGATCATTTCCAGTCAAAGAAATACAACTTACCTACAATTATTCTGTGTGTAGGTGCAGGTGTAAAGGGCGAGTTGAGTTTGCAAATGTCAACCTGGGACCAGCCCTAGGAATTGTGCTTCCAACAAGACAAAGCTCTTGGACCATTTTGAAATGTTTATTTGAAAGTGGAGCAGTAGAAATTTCCATTTATTTGAAACTTCCCCAGAAGAAATAGGGTTTATTTATTCCATCCAAATATTTCACTCAAAGCCTTTTCTATGCTAAATTCCTCGCAGAGATAGAACCTTGGCTTAAAAACCAATACTTTCGCTCTGTGGCCTGGATTTCGTTTTTCATCAAATCCCATCAGTTTGCTGACTTTGAAGGGCTTTTTAGATTTGGACTTGCCATTGGGGGTGAGGGTTTTCACTCACATCAGACAGCTCTGGAATATGGCCAGCACTTCCAACAGGTATCAACTCCATTCAGTAGAAAATTCTCAGTACTGATCAGTTCCATGAACAACCCTCTGGATTACCCTGAACCCTCGAGACCCTGCTTTCCTTGGATCCAGAGACAAAACACCACAGGGAGAATTTGAGAGTTTGGATTTGCAGTTCTCCTTTTGGCCCACGGTGGTGTTGGGGAAGGTTGGCTTCCTCCAATACGTAATTGGATTGGAAAGTACATGCGAGTCTGAGCCCCTGCAGGTTTCTGGATGTGGAGCTGGGGTTGCCCTGTCCCTGGCAGCTCTCCTGGTTGGATTTGCAGTGTCTCAAAGGGAGAGTGGGAACCACTGACAGGTATGGATGGAGCCTGTAGGTTGGAGAAGATGCACCTTGCTTTGTGGTAGGGTGAGGACAACTTTAG